CAGACTAGTTCGAGTGGTAAGTCAACATTGCTGACCTCTTAAAGAAAGCTAGTATTGAAAAAAAGTGGGTAAGTACTCCACGGGCGTCTTTCTCCTCCTACTCACCGCCTAAATATGTTACAAAATATTTTAAAGTATTCTTGAATTTTTTATTTCATAATTTTTACATCACAATTAAAAATGTTCTCACCTCATTTCTTATAATTTTTCTACTGAGGGAATATAATTTTTAACCTATGAAATTTTAATTTTGTGGTCAAATTATTTTTCTAATTGCATAACTTAGAATAGGCAGTTGGCATTAAAAAAAATACATATATTTAAAAATGAAAGAAATAACAAAAAAGATATATATTTAAAAAATTAATAATTTTATAATAGTTTGAACTTTAAAATTTTATTTTATTTTATTTTATTTTATTGATTATACCTGAAGATGAACATTTACCATAGTGACATTTTGATTTTAGAATCTAATTTTAATTATGTTTCTAAAATTATTTGAGAATTATCTTAACCTCTAGAAGTTTTCTATAGTCAAGAGAGAACTTTCTTGAAATCAAATATCTTTGTCAAGATTGTGTGGCAAATTGGTAGTACTATATTACACTATTACAAACTCTTCTTAGAAGGATAAAAGGCCAATGATGAGCCGTTTGAGTGAGTCCATGTCAAAATTTAAGGTGTATATAACAAGGGCTCAATGATAAAAGTAAATTGCAAGATAAAGACTAAAAAGAGGGATAAATAATAATAGATAATATCAATTTGAAATTAACTTAGGCTTTGAATTATCGATTCAATTTATTATTTAAGATAATGTCCATGTTAAAAGTAATATCTTCAAGTACTTGAAATCTCATAGTTTCTGATATTATTTGTTCATAAACTTTTGTCTTTGTTATTAAGTCTCATAACATGCAAAAAATTATCAACCTCCATTTGCCTTTTTTTTTTTTTGCGTTTTGAATCAATATGTTAATTTATAGAGAAAATAACTGAATAAGTTAAGAAATATAGTGGTGCACTCTGAACTATATTAACAAACAACATAAACTAGATATGTAAATAACAAAAGATATAGTTAAAATAGTTTGGTAATGTTTTAACAATCAGCCACAATCATATATCATGATGAACTCCGAATCCATCTTGCTTTCATTCTTAACCCACATCATCTCATCAAAGTGGTGAAGTAGCTGATAACATGATATGCTCAGTTCATATAGATCAGAGCCAATTATGTTGTATATGCACACAGGTTTGGAGAACTTGATTGTGCATTTAGTCAATATATACACTAGTATTGGCTGAAGTAGTTCGTCTTAGGTGGGATAACTTTTTTATATTTCTATGTATTTGGGCAATGTGAGCTTTAGTTTCTTATTATAACACCTCGAGCCTAGAATTTAGACTCGAGATGATAAAATTTATTCTAAATAATAATTATAAAAATTGTTACTCTTAATTTTTTAAAGAATTTTTGAGTTACATGTATTTCAAACGTATTTGAAACAATTTTCAAAAGTCATAGCCAAACTGTAAGTAAGTGGAGGTTATATTTGAAAGGAAAGTTTAAAAACAGGGGCCAAATGACAAAAAAAAAATACTGTCATATAGAACAACCTCGTCAGCAGCACGACAAATTGTCGTGCGCCACATGGCTAACAGGCCAGCATGATTCCATGTAGGAGGCCATGCGGGCAATCCGCATGCCAGACCGATCGAACGGCTCAAGGTCACTCCCACGCGCGTGAACGGTCAGATCGATTCTTTGAATATGCTTGATCGAACGACCTGCATGTCTCCAATCAAACGTCTAGATTAGTTTCCCAATTATGCACAATCGGATGGCCTTCGCTACTTTTACGTGTCCCCACATGAACGGCCCAGATCGAAGATGAAAATGTATTTAAAACTCTCTACTCGGGCTCCCCAAACCCTAGTTGTCAAGACAATAGGAGAAGAAGAATAAGGGCGGTCGAAAAGCGAACCAGTCACAGGAGAAAAGCCGGCACCACTGTGCTGGAATACTAAAATGTTCGATGAACCCGAAATCCTTTCTCATTTCTTCTGTTTCTTGATCCTATACAATCTAACATGTTTTTTGATGTAGGGTAGCCAAAGGAAATCTGCAACTGCGAGGAAGAAGCGGTAGAGCCACCGTACCGAAGAGCCAAAACCACTGGTAAACTTCAGTTTTCTCCCCTTTTCCACCAACAGACACCGCCTAACCACAAATTGAGCAAGTTTTCACCCAGAACAGATTGAAACTAGCCTGACCGAGAGAAAGAGTCGTCGTAGACGGCAGAACTGATGGCGGAGAACGACGGCACTGCCATGCAGAAACCCTAAACCAGCTCTGGTGAGATTTTTGGCCTTTTTTAGCCGTTTGTTTACGTATTTCTACGTTATTTGATGTAAGTTTTGATTTTAGCAGAAAAAATAAGAAATTCAAGAACCAAGAACCGCCAGGAAGCATAGTAAAAAAAGGCAGTATTCCAGACACCGACTTAGGGTAATAATCCATCACCTTTTCTCCTATTATGGTTAAATTAAAGTCAAATTAATAATAAACAGAAAATTATAAATGGTTGGTGATTCCCTAATTAATTAAATACAGGTTGCCGATGGAGCCAGTGATCAGTTTATAATTATTCCTAACTTATCTGTGTTATCTATTTGTTATTATATTACCTTATTTGTTTATTGTTACTTCGTTTTATCTTACTGTACTTTAATTTATTTTATTTTTCTTGTCGATTTAGTTTACCTAAACCGTTTTTATTTTTACTCTGTTATATCAGTTTACAACTAATGCCTTAATCACGTTTCTTGTACCGTTTGATTTCAATTCATTTCGCTTCATTAATTAATCGTTTTATTTTACTTTTTATGATATCGAATGTATAGTTCCCCTGTTCTTTTATGATGTTATATCACATCCTTGCTTATGATCTTATCTCTTAACAAGTATTGAAGCATGGATTTTATTTTCTTGTAATTGCAAAATATGAGTTGTGCACGTATTTTGTGACTAGATAATAATGAAAAATTATAGGTGTAAGCAACATTGTTAAATTAAAGTGCTTATCGGGTGTCACGAAAAATGGTGTACAGACTTAGTACATAGTGTAAACCCTACCGTTGACGTTACCCTTAGCCGAATGAGACTGAGAAGTCACATACCGAAAAAGGTTATGAATTATTTTGATTATACTCATTACCAGACGGAATATTGAAACGGTTGTATGTTTGGCGCCCATTACCGAACAAGGTATCGAGATGGTTGTTTGATTAATTAAATGGATATTTGGTCCACGTGTAATGAGGACCCTTATAGACTCCCAACAGCACCGGTAAGTGAGTAAAAATGATAAAAGTTGATTATTGTTGGTCTTTTAGAATGCTTAATGTGAATTACTATTCTGATTTTTATCTTCATAAATGACATTTGGGAATTTACAAGTGATTGAGGAAATCAATGTTTTCAGTTAAATGAATTTATTTAAGAAAGAAAAATGAGTTTCATTGGTTGTTTTATAATTTCTACAAACTTTTGATTTTCTGTATCAGTAATAAAGCGTTGATATTCTTAATAAATTAGTAGAACTCATCCCTTTATTATTAACAACTTCATATCAAGACGACCAAAACCCGAATGCTGAACAATAAGAAAACTAGCTAGAAGGTTGTTGGTTTCGTTTTTTCAATATTAAGCGGAGGTTGATCATATTAATTTTCCTTATTATATTTTTTATTTATATTCTTTAAGAGCATTTTTGTATCCTTAGTAAGTGTTTTAATCAAATTGTACAAAAAATATAACTCTAAACTCTAAACTGTTTTTGTAAATTAATAAATTTCAGTATTATTTTATTATCTATATTATGGGCCTTTACACTTATGGTAATTGCATTTTGATAAGTTTTTTGTAATTAATAAACTAATGTTTCTTTTCAAAAAAAAAAAAAAGAAAAATCTTAGAGATGTTAGTTGGCCTCATGAATGCCTTGTCCACATTTCAAGCAATCATGAATGACATTAATCGGCTTACTTGCTGAAATTTATGATTTGCTTGATGATATACACCCAACATCTTTAAAGAACATCATCAACACCATATGATGCAAGTTTTGTCTATTGTAAGGCACAATAGTTTTTATAATACTAAATGAGCAAACAAAGGGTCTTTCCTTTTGATATTATATGATTATGAACATAGTAATTTAAAATTGAATGATGGATCATCAACAAATGCTTAAACTAGTGAGATTAATGCTATCTAAATAATATTTCTCAAGTATTTTCTTTAATTATTTGATAATATTATTAATTTGACTGGTTCTCTTTTTGTGGCAGATAATAAATATTTATCTGTGTATTAAAGGACACATGTTTATACGTATAAGGCAGGTTGAGTATATGGGTGTAAAAGTTGTGGACTCCCCTTCCCCTAGCTGTATGAGTATTGGAAGAACGTACGGTGTTGCACCGGTCCCCCCCCCCCATCCATTAGTAGTGTGATATAATTATGGCAACATGACTCATCCCCAAAGACTCTCTCCTTTCCTTAAAAGTATTAAAACACAACACGTTCATCAACTCATCACGCACATGACTACTGCTTATTCAGTTATTTGGTTGAACATATAATTGTACGCATTTATTCTCTTCATTACTATTCTATACACACACACACATATATATATATACATACACGTACAAGCTTGAGAAAATAATATACCCTTTTACTTACATATTTTTCTCTTCTTGAGTCACTCATACTTAAAGAAATCTCTTTAGGAAAATATCATAAAGAAAAAAGATCAATTTTCAATAAATGAAGAATTAAAGCCATTGAAAACTCTTCAACTACATGCACGTCAAGTAGTTGAAAACATTTACTCCACTCCCACCAACCTCCTTCATTATTTCATTACAACTTTTAGCTACCTGTACCACTCATTACACTTTTCAGTCTATAAAACTATATTGCATTACCCATTTCTCAACTTGTGATCGACAACCATATGGCAAGAAGTGAACAAGATCTATTGTCGACGGAGATTGTCAACCGTGGGATCGAGTCATCGGGTCCAAATGCTGGATCCTTGACGTTTTCAGTTCGGGTCCGGAGAAGGCTGCCGGACTTTCTACAGTCGGTGAATCTCAAGTACGTGAAGTTGGGATACCATTATCTGATAAATCATGGCATATACCTGGCCACCATACCTGTGCTGGTGCTGGTTTTCAGTGCTGAAGTTGGAAGCCTTAGTAGGGAGGAGCTATGGAAGAAGCTTTGGGAAGATGCTCGTTATGATTTAGCCACCGTGCTTGCGTTCTTTGGCATCTTTGTCTTCACACTCTCAGTTTACTTCATGTCACGTCCTCGCTCTATTTACCTCGTTGACTATGCATGTTACCGTCCTCATGACGATCTTAAGGTACAAATTTATAGATGTGGTAATTTAAACGAATTCTTGGTAGGTGTTTTTCTCTGTAAGAGATTGTTTTATGATTGATTTTTCTCTGTAATTTCAGGTGACAAAAGAGCAGTTCATAGAGATGGCGAGGAAATCCGGCAAGTTCGACGAAGGAAGTCTTGAATTCCAAAAGAGAATTCTCCAATCATCAGGGATAGGAGACGAGACGTACGTGCCAAAATCACTAATGTCAACCGAAACCTGCACCACCATGAAAGAAGGCCGGCTTGAAGCTTCAACAGTCATGTTTGGCGCACTTGATGAACTTTTCGAGAAGACGAGAGTGCGGCCAAAGGACGTCGGAGTACTCGTGGTGAACTGCAGCATCTTCAACCCGACACCTTCACTGTCCGCCATGATAATCAACCATTATAAAATGAGAGGCAACATCTTGAGCTACAATCTTGGTGGGATGGGTTGCAGTGCCGGTATTATTGCGGTGGACCTGGCCCGGGACATGTTGCAGTCTAACCCAAATAATTATGCCGTTGTGGTCAGCACCGAGATGGTGGCTTACAATTGGTACCCGGGTCGTGATCGGTCCATGCTCATCCCCAACTGCTTCTTTAGAATGGGCTGTTCAGCTGTTCTACTATCAAACCGCTGCCGTGACTACCGCCGGTCCAAATACCGTCTCGAGCACATTGTTCGCACCCACAAAGGTGCTGATGACCGCAGCTTCAGGTACTTGCTTAATAATATCTGTTGTTCGGTTTTATTTGAATTTTATTTTAATAAAAATTTATATCATTATATAACATCCATATAAAATATATATATATATATATGATTCTTTTTTAATCTATAAATTCTTACATGAAGAATTATTAATTGAAATCTAGTTTTTCAGTTTGATGGTAATTAAACAAATTTGGGTAGGAACGAAAGCAAAATTATTATTTTTCTAAGACACTCTGGTAAATCTCTGCAAGTTTTATGTAAGTTTGACTTTCTTCGTTTATAATCTGTGTTAATCGGTTTTTGCCTTAAAAACGTATGTTTAATGATTTTGAATTCAATGTCAATTTAGTAAATTTAAATGATATATGAGTCCCACAGCTAAAAGATGTATATATATATATATATATATACATATGTACTTTATTGTACTTTTGTATGTAAGTAACAGCAGAAGCTTACCTATCAGCTCAGAGCTTATAGCTAGAGACGATAAATGTATATATATATATATTAAGCAATTACTTTATAAAAAAAAAAATTAAGATATTTTTTTTAATGATATCTTAATCAATTAATTAACAAATTTTTTGAGTTAAAATTTCATTAATAATAGATGCTGCAATTGGGTGGGACGAGCTGTTCCAAATACTAAAATTATTAGCCTTTGAGTTTTATTTAATTATTTAATATATAAACTGAATGTTATTGGTAAATTTTCCATAAATATTTTTGGAAATTAAATATTATTTGTTTACAATTTATTCAAATATTTATATTTATTTTATGTAATAATGATTTTTTTTATAAGATAATAAAATATAAAATATAAAAGAATATATATATCTTTCACTTTTTTTTCGGGTCTATTAATAAAATTCATATATATTTTACTTCATATATTTATGTATTAAAAATTTAATTTATATATTTATATTTTTAACTTCTTGAATCACGTGAACTTGACATTTAGCTAATTACCCCACTCTATCCGGCTCTTTTTAGGTTCAACACATGTAGCATGCATTATCTACATACAGCGTAGATATAACTTCATATATTTTATGCACTAACTAGCTATATATAGTCATTACATTGGGTAAATTTCTATATTTTTGTCCCTGTACATAACTCATGCGTGTGCACATTTCAACTGTAGCAAATTGATGCATATTTTATCTGTAATTGTAAAAAAAAAAAAAAAAAAAACTGAGAATTGAAATAATTACTATTAATTAAAAAAACTCAAATTCCGTTAAAATTAATTAAAAAAAAAATTCTGTAATTGTTGTTGTTGTTGTTGTTGAGCAGGTGTATTTACCAGGAGGAAGATGATCAAGGTCTCAAGGGACTAAAAGTGAGCAAAGAGCTAATGGAGATCGGCGGCGATGCACTGAAAACCAACATCACCACACTTGGACCTCTTGTCTTACCCTTCTCAGAGCAGCTCATCTTCTTCATCACCCTCCTATGGAGACATCTCTTTGGGGGTAAAAAAGCTTCTCACCCCTCATCATCTTCTGTGACAAAACCCTACATTCCAGACTACAAGCTTGCGTTCGAGCACTTCTGCATTCACGCCGCCAGCAAGAACGTGCTGGATGGGCTGCAAAAGAATCTTCAGCTCAGCGAAACCCACCTGGAAGCCTCTCGAATGACGCTGCACCGCTTTGGAAACACCTCCAGCAGCAGCATATGGTACGAGTTGGCTTACTTGGAGGCAAAAGATAGAGTCAGGAGAGGTGATAGGATTTGGCAGCTGGCTTTTGGTTCAGGCTTTAAGTGCAACAGCCTGGTTTGGCGCTCTCTGCGTCGTGTTAGAAAGCCTTCTTCAGATAATCCATGGCTTGACTGCGTTGATAGATATCCTGTGCGTCTCTGATTGATTACTTTTAGTATGTACACACACACATATATATATATATATATATATATATATGTTAGCTATGTTATGGGTTATAATATGTAAGGTGTTGCAAAACTAAGCTGGGAATGTTATAGATGGTTTCCTAGTCTTATATTAGGAAACTTGGTAACTAATTTGTTATCGGGTGATGTTTCCCTTGAACGTTTAATTTTATTTAAGCTTGGAATGGATTTTATTAAGATTAATTGTAACTGTGTAGTTGTGATCACCTTTCTCTTGAATTGAGACTCATTTTGGTCTTTTAATCAAATTCAAATCTAAGTTGAGACACACACACATATATATATATATATATATATATATACATCATCCATAGTTTCTTGATCAAATGTCTTTTAATCATCCAAATATACTAAAAGGAATGAAAAGTAAAACATTTTATCGTTACAAATATGTGTCTGCCTTGGTTAAAATAACATAACATGTGAACAATAACACACCAATATTTATACAACCACTTATATATTGCCTATAATTTTCGTTAAAATTCAAGGCCAACATCAAAAGCTCAATAGGTTTATTACCCTTTTTATAAATAACTTCACAAGTGTAGAAAATAATTAAGCACCTTATTCCTAACTTTCTAAATTTTTTTTTTTTTTTTTGTCTAATTATTTTCTTTTCAATTAATAAATACATAAAACAAACACTACCATAAAAAATCTTATAATCTAACAGATAAAATTTGTTACTAAAAATTAAAATGTACAAAAGAAAACCCAAAGGTATATGTAAAATTCTGCTAGTATAGATTCTTTTTACTAATTAATTTTTTTATGTTATTAAAAAATACATTACACAATAGAGAATTGTTAAACAAAAATCTGAAATAAATTTAACATTCTTTATTTTGCAAAACTTCAAATTCGTCTCGTAAAATTCAGAGTTGCACCTTCTTCACCTTATCAATAGTAATTCTTCAAAATCTCCCAAGTTTACTTTGTATTGGTAGCATCAACCACATTCAAGAACATAGATTCATCCAAATCTTGATGGATAAAAGCAAGGGCTTGTTAATCCTTCTTCCTTGATTTTTGTTAAAGTATCATGTTTATTTTGAGTCAATAATGTTTCATTTTTAGGTAGAGTAAAACTTCTATCTACAATATCTCGTACATCTTCTGAGTCAAGTATAACTTTCATGTGAAAACACCAACTTTCGTAGTTTTCTTTTATCAAACGAGAAAATTGGAATGAGAATGGATTATTTTTAATAATCTCTCTAAATTTTAGAGAATAAAAAAAATCAAACAATTGAGTTATTTTAGACAGTTTGAGTTTCCATTTAATTAGTTATGATTTGGTGTTGTAATTAATTTTTAGTGAATGATAACTTCAAAAACTAATCCATTCTTTTGAATAATGTTGTATTATCCCAGGTGAGACACAACTCCTTAAAAAAAAAATGTATATCCTAATCAAGAATTTTTAGGCTTAATGAGTAATTAAAACGTATATGAATATGTGTCATTTCTCTGCTAAACAATCCACAGAAGATAAGAAAACCAACCTCCAGTCAAATCATCTTCTCTTCCTGGAACAATTAGCATAACAACCAAAAATTTACACTATTAATTTGAAACACACCCAAAAAAAAAAAAAAAAGAAAAGGAAATTAATCCCAGCATTTGATAAAGGTATAATCACCAAACCTCTTTTTTAATTTTAAGCAAAAACATTTTGCATACATCTAATAATTCCCAAAAATATAACAAACGAGAACAGAGAAAAAGAAAAAAGAATTACCAACTGGAATTAGCAAAATTCCACAAAGCCATGTTGTTCTGTTCGGAGTCTTTCTCTTGGCCTCTCATTCGTATCCTCTATCTGATCTGCTTTTTCATTCATCCCACCAATCTCCCTTTCGGCTTCTCTCTCTCTCTCTCTCTCTCTCCTGCTCTTTTCTTGATCCCCAATTTTCATCTCTCTCTCACTCTCTTAGTTTCCTTCTCGGCTCTCTTTTTCATGCCTCTGTTTCCTCCTTTTTTACCATGCCCTCTTCTTCATCTTCAGCCTCCTTTTATAAGCAAAATCAGCCCACCAAACATCTCTACATCAACGGCTCCCCTTACTTAATGCTGCTCATTTCTCCATCAGCTCATGTCACATCTTCATGCCATGCCCCATCTTTTGGGGGCTTTCTCCTCCTTCTCTGGACTATCACCACCGCAATCATCACCATCTTTCCTCTCAAAACCAGAAGCCAAAATCTTTTCTTTTCATCCTATTTCACACTGCCTCCCTCTATCGCGCCAAATCTTTTCTTTACCATCGTCGGTCAATATCATTATCGTTGTTCATCCGCATCTGCCTCACTTTATTTTAGATTCCTCTTTCTAGTTCGAGTCGTCTTTCTCATCATCGAACACGCCTCTGCTTTAACCGTTCCACCCACTCTTTGGCGTTCCCAACGAAAGGAAAAAGAACAAAAACCTAAACCCTTTTTCCTATTTCAGTCTATCAATGAAGAGGACAGTAGAGGCTTTTCCAAAAACAGAAGCATTTTGGGCAAGGCTGACATTTCAGGTGGAAGAAAGGAAGAAAAAAAGATCGGGCTTGCATTTACTGACATTTCAGTTGCTTACTGGTGAGTCAGCTTATATGTCAACATTCTATGCATTGAGACATAAACAAGCTGAAACACTACTTCGATCCAGGAAAACTCCAAGAAATCCTCAAGATTAAATCATCCACTCTTACAAAGTAGGATAAAATGGATATGGAGCCCTAATAGCACAGGCTCTTATACTGTTAACTCAGACTTTAAAATGCTTCATGACAACCTAAAGAAGGGAATTCCTCCAAGTTTCAATTCAATTGGAACTTATCATGGAAGGCTAGGATCCAGGAAAGACACAGAATTTTAAAGTGGAGAATCCTAAATAAAGTCTCCCTAGCTTATAGGCTGAAGACACAAATCCAGGGCATAAATGTCTGCTATGTCATCAGGGTACAGAATCCTACGAGAATCTATTTATCAACTATCATTTAACAATCATGGTTGTATTCAGAATAGTCTCTAAATTTTCATCTCCTAAATTTATCAACAATTCAAGAGCATATAGAATACATGCTAAATATGCAGAAGCGAGATCAGACTATGAAGCACACATGCAGAGAATATTTCTTTACGCATAAATAATGATGGAGAAGTTACGGAAATGGCGAAATCAAATGCGAACAAGAAGCCTTACCGGCAATAACCTTCATCCTTACAAGTTGGCGAATGCAGTCCCCTTCCTTCATCAGGTAAATACCTACTGTAAACAAAAAAATCAACATTGATCCAACATATAATTTATTCTATTGAAGTAATCAAGCAGCAATAGTTTTTACCTGGACTCTAAACGCCAGACAACATGCTCTCGAGAAGCAAATTCCCTACAAACGATCCACTTCATGCAAAAGGTGAAGCCATCCGTCGTGCGTTAACAGCGGGTCGAACATCTAGGGTTAGCAAAAATTGTTCATAATCGAGTATCAAAACCTTTGATCTCAAATTCCATTATACCAGACTGGCTATAGAAAAACAATTGCTCTGGCCGAAGGAGCTGTTCATTTTGGACTGCGGGAGCCAAGTCTCGTAAATATTTTACAAACCATGATTATATTCAACAAAAAGAAAAATTAATTTAAAATTAATCAGAATATCTCATTTTATACTCGGTTATTCTGTATTAAACTACAACAGCCGAATATCTCCTCATAAACTATTATACAGTAGTATAATTAATTATAAAATGGTTTTAATATATATTTTTTTTTTAAAAGAAAGAAACACTACGAGTGCATTAATTTATTTAAGATTTTATTGTTGTTTGAACACTTAATCTTGAAAATGCATCACCCTTTTAATATTACTAATAGTATTTTGGGAGGAAAAAAAGAAAAAAAAAAAAAAGTTAATCGAATTAACTTTTAACTCCAATATATATATATTTTTTTTTTATCTGAATAGTATAAAAAGATATTATGAATATATTAATGCGCTTACAAAATAATAATCTTTTTAATGTATAATAATAAATTTTATGTTTTTAACAAAATTTAATCTCATGATGTTCAAATAAATTACAAAAAAATATACCCACTACATTAGTATATTGATGATTTTAAATGTAAAATTAATAATCACGTGCAGGTCTTATATCATATTTAATAATTTTGCCCTTAGGTTAGTATCCGATCTCAAAAAAAAAAAAAAAGGGTTACCCAATTTATAGGTTAGAGAAATAGGAAAAGTGTGATACAAAGTATAATAAAAACATTATTACTAGTAGTGAGTCCTGTGGAACCACACTATTATTACCCTCTCAAGAGCTTTTTGCCAATTCTAGTGCAAAAACATCTCAGCAAGCCCTCCTTATTACAAGAAAACATCCTACCCAAAATCAATATGAAACAAAAACAAAAAAGGAAACAAAGATTTGATTGACAAAAAAATAATCAATCCTTGTCAAGCTAGCCACTCCCCATCCATGCCATCAATTTCTTCAATATCCATGCTGCATCATCGTAATCAAAAATAAAACAAAAGTTAAAAGTTCATGCTCCTAACATTTAAGGAAACATATGCCACATTATATATTACATAAAAATGTATGGGGAAAAGAAAATTAAAAAAACAAAACTGGTCACCACCAACTTCCAAAACAAAAGAAATAAATAAACAAATAACAAAACATAGTATGGTGATCTTAATGCAACAACATTTCTACAGAGAAACCCCCTTGGCTCTCTGACGTGGGCTTTTTTTCTCTATTCAATTTGGATAAGAACACCCCCAACCGCTTGCAAAGTTTGATTTTGCCAAAATTCCATTGGGCACCTTCACAAATATGACAGTTCTGTAGTTTTGGACTTTTCCAATCCAAACAATCCCGTGTAATCCTAACTGCTAAACTAAAACAATACTTTAAAGAAAGAAGAAAAAGAAGAGAGACAGAGAGAGAGAAAGAAAGATAGAACCAAAATCAAAAACCTTGATTCATTTCCCAGTTCATGCAGCTCGTGGGATTGCACTAGATGAAACTTGAATTGCATGTTATAAAAAGTAAGCTCAGAGGAAGCAACATGAAAAAGGCGTATAACCATGTGACAAAAGGCATAAAATAATTATGTCATTCTTGAATAATTAAGCACCTAATATCTCATAAAGATTATACAACTCATGAACCTTACCATGGTAAGGCAGGATCTTGGAAGTAACCATCCGAGCAGTAAGCACTGAAATGTTGCTGTAAGCAGCTCTCATTTGCATTCAACCAGGATGGAAACTCCATGACCTCCTCAAACGGCTGGTACCCATCATCCTCTGCCTTCACTTCCGGCCCGACTTCCATGGTCTTCAAGAACTTGAACCACCGTGCGGAAGTTACCAAATTCATGGTGTCATTCCATTCCATCTGATGTTGCTCCCCTATTGATCTGATCTCTGCCATTTCCTCATCATCCATCACGGGATGCAGGCCACCGCCTCCACCACAGGATTCAATGGCATCAAATGTGGGAGTCATCGCCACCTCCTGTGATACGACGACGGGAGGAACTTCTTCAGTGGCAATAGAAATACCAGGAGAAGAAGATGATGATGGTGACGAGGATGAATAGATTGAAGGGTTGTTGCTGCTATGGTAGAGAGAGGTGTCTATATTGCTGAAATCATGAAAATTGAGATTTAAGCCTAAGGTTTGGCTTGGAAGGTTAAAATTGAAAACTTCAGGAACAGGCGGAGAAATTTGGGAAGTAGACCAAGAGAATGGATCAGGTGGAGGAGAGAAAGACGAGTAAGACAAGTTTTCTGCATAACTACAGAAATTGGCTGTGCTTGAGGGGTATATCCTAGGATTTCTCCTAGATTTTATCTTTGCTTCTTGTTCAAAGGATGGTGTTGGTAAAAGATCCAAGGCTTGTGATTGTTCTTGCTGTTGTTTCTGCTGCTGCTGTTGTTCACTAGCTTGTTTCATAGCAGCTCTGTGAAACTTAAGTGCAGTTACTATCTCTCTCCTAGCCTCAGCCATATTAAGAAGCCTTTCTTGGTAAGGCCTACTGGTGTGGAGTCTTCTCCTAACTTGTTTTTTGTGTTGCTGAGGTTGTTGGGGTTGCTGCGTCTGTGGGGTTTTTTCACCATAGCCATCTCCCAATTTGGTCATACTTTGGCCAGAATGATCATCAGCATCAATACAATCGGGGTCTTTGGTGTTCATGGTGTCTTTTGTTCTTGAGGAGGTTAGTTGCTTAACAAGGCTACGAATGTAAGCACCTGAGAGATGGGGTTCCTGTTTGAGCTTACTAACGTTATCAATTTCCATTTCTTGTTTGGTTTCTTGCTTTGAAGATCGACCCCTCATCTTCCTATTTCTCTTACTTTTTGGGTTTCTTCCTTATTCAACTTAGGAATGCAGAGAGGATGGTAGGGAGGATCATGGTTTTCTCTCAATATTCTTTTAGGGACAAAGTACGAAAGCCAGACAGAGGAAGAGGCTGATCCGGAGTAGTCCGGGAGGACCTCATGGGTGTTATAAATACTAGCTGGGCACAGTCTAGGGTTTTTAAATTCTTTTGGATTTTTCCCTATTTCGGCAAACAACATTTGTTACCGTTTACTTTCCTGCATTAAATATGCAGTTAGGAGGTTTCCATTACAAAACAGCCTTTCTCTGTTGACTACAAAAGATGAAATTAATCTAACAAGACCATCCGCTGATAAGATTTAACTATAAAACAATAGAAATTAGGACAGGATAGATATCCACTAAAATTGCCTTTATTATGCACATGCACTCCTAAGCTATGCATGAAAACGAGATAAGACCAAAAGGTGTGTGCTTGCATCAATACCGCCTCATCTCAACCGATTGCTTAATCATCATTTCTCACCAATTGAAAATGTTTAAAAAGTTCATTAGCAGCCATAGTAATGACATCAAAATTGTTGGAGAAAATGTGTGTAATCTCATCGATATCCACGGTAATGACATTAAATCTACAAATTTTCTAACATGATACTCTGACACCTGACAAACTAATTCTTAATCAAAAAGATAACGTTATCGCTTTCTTAAGCAAATGACTAATATTCTTCAGGAAAAATATGAATCCAAATGCTTCAGGGGAAGAATCCAAGTATGGCATAAAGGGGAAAGAAGTACTTCCTAGTTATTAAACAAAAAGGAAAAAACTGAATGATTCCTAAAAGAAACATAAACTACATGGATTCTTAAGCTGATAAGGAAGCAAGGTTCTTTTGGTAATTGGATGCAGGTTTTGAAGGCAAATTCCTGATTTACTAGGGATAACTCATATCCAAACAGCAGTTTAGGAATACATGATTGACAGCTATTCTGGTATCTTGTCTGCAAGTACGATGGGACCAGGCTCTCAAAACGTCAGCAAAAGCCTATAGGGACTGACATAAGAATCTCCATTACTGTTGCTAACTTCTTTTTTTATTTTCTTTTTTTAGGAAAAAAGAAAATTTTCCAATATTTCTGTTTAAAACAATTTGTTCAACATGATTCGAGTCTGTTGATGAAACAGAGTACTTGGACCTTTTGTAAAGGCATTCCACGGCATGTTAAAAGACAGAAATGCTCCATACCATCATCTTTTCCCTTATAATACCATTTCGCCGACTTGATGTCCCTTTTACTGAGCTTTTTCACTGCATTTTCTCATTCAAATTGGCGTGTGACAGAGCCAGAGGCATGGCTTCTATGGCCTTTAGCAGGTTTTTTCAGGCAGCAATTAGGTGAAAATAAAGCCTAGTGGAGAGAAATTTTTACTGCTGTAAATATAAACTTCTACTTCTCACAAATGATTTTAAAACTATATATTAGTAATAATAACTATAAATATTTAAATTTGGAACTAAGACTCTTGCTTGTTCCCTAGTATAAAATGTTGTCTACGTAGGAAGCAAATGTATCTTTCTAATTCCGAAAGTAATAATGCTTAAAAACAATCTCCACTAGAACCCTAAGCCCTCTTAAATGTTTAGATAAAGAGAGACACAATTTCCAAATCAAGTGTCTGGATAAATTAAAGTTTTACATAAAGAGTAGGAGTCTCACCAAATGCCTTAATCAATTAAATTCTCATAAAATCTCAACCATGTAGGATACACATTCTCAATCACGGTACTTTCAAGACCATTCCATCTGTATATCCAAGCACCAAACTCCTCCTCTACAGATTAAATTCTATACTCTATACCACCAAAACATGACCAGATAACACCCATTCTCCTATAATCATCTGGACACAAAAATGGGTATTTAATCAACCATTAGATGTTGTTAGATATTTACATGCTAGCAGTAGCTCCGTAGGTGTAAAATTTAGAATAGACAGTTTGGACAACTCAAATTATTACTACATAACAAAATAATTAATAAGGGCATTGAGCATGAATGAGTTGTCTTCACAATCCCAACTTGGCGATTGTCTTCAAGGAAAAAGGGAAAACAAACAAGATAGTTCACCCGGTTCACGGTGGTCACAGATGATCACCAAGTCAATAATGATGGTTGCTAGAGAACAAGTATCCCCACCTCCCACGTTGCCTCTAGCGTCATTTATTGTGTTTATTTTCAACGCTGTTATGGCAATATCACTAAAAAGTTTTCTAAAGACCATTCTAATGAAATTAGTATAATCTTCATTCATTCAAAAAAAAAGGGATGTGTTTGATCTTAAAAAAGATTAAATCTTTCAAGTCTAGCACTGACTAACTCCTACATGTAAATATTTCCCTGAACCAGAACCAAATAAATATTGGCAAATCACTTAAGGGCAAAGCAACATTAGCAAAACTAAAATCAGAACAAGAGATAAGCATAAAACATAAAAGAGGGGGAGAGAGAAAAATAAGGATAACCATTCCATACCCACGTCTGAACAAAAATAGAAAGAAGTATAGTAGATAGGATTAAATTTAAAAAAGAAAAAGGTTCCAGAATTGAAAAGAATATAAAAATGAAAAGAATTAAAAAAACAGAGAGAGGAAAGGGAAACAAGCCTCCTGGTGCGGGTGTGAAGTGGATAAAGATGCATATGCAAAAAATTGACTGTCTTTAGGTTCTGATGAGAAACCCAGCTTGAACCAATCCAATCCCATCACGCGCAGATAAATTGCATTGCCTCTTTCTCTCTCTCTATCTGTAGGATGAAAAAGATTGGTCTCCACCAATCACATTAGCCCACCAAATCAAAACGCTGTGAGAGTGGATTTGGCTTTTAGGGTTTTCCATTTGCCTTTGGATTCCATTCACACTAGGAAAAATTCAAAGCGGCATTGCATTGCATTCCCCATTTTATCCCTTTTTAAGAGACGAAAGCGCCCGCACAATTTAGGGGATAACAACAACAGAAGCAGCAATAGCAACAGCAACAGCAACAAACCTGTCTGTAGACGAAGCAAACACAAATATTTATTCCATTGAATGAGTTTTCTCTGTCGCTGTGACCTTGCAGGCCTGCTGCCTGCAGCACTTACTCACCATTCTCTCTCTCTCCCTTTCCCTTTCCCTTTCCCCCTCTGCCATGGCTACTCTGCTATTTTTTAAAATTTTGTTCGGGTCGGGTAGGTTAATTACAGTGTTTAATTATTTGCAAAGAGCGGCAGGCATGTGTCAAATAATTCATATATCATCTCATTCCTGTGGGGGCCCGGCAATTAACACCCATAATAAATGTTATTTTTTGTACTTGTCACTTTAAAAAAATTTAATTTTTTTGTAATTTTAATTTAATTTATTTTCATTCTTAAATTAATTTTTAAACAAATTATTAAGTTTTTAATGAAATGGTAAAGTAATTATAAGTAAAATTTCAGTCAAATAAAAAATTTAAAAAAAAAATTAAAATTTGAATTTTTCAAGAAAAAAATAATGTAAGTTTGCTCTTCTCAATTTTTTATTGCTGACTGTAAAACTTCCATGTCAAAAATATCATACTTTGACTTAAAAATTATTGTCTCTCAGTCAATTGATGTTTTGTTTAACTGGAAAAATATCCTTTAATTTTTTATTTCTAAAATTTTGTCCTTAATTTTTTTCAAATTAATATTTTTAAGTAAATTATATTTTAAAAGATTGATTTTTGAACACGTCATCGTCACATGCAGTCATATTATCACGTTGATTAATATGTTTTATTTCTAATTTTGTTAAATTTTAAACAATCAAAATCTAGTTAATTAAGGATCATATATATAATCTAGATAGAATAAATACATTCTATTTTATTTTTGTTCATTGCTTGTAAATTATTATATATTATTTTTATATTGTTGTTTATCACTTTTTTTTATTTTAAAAAATTAATAAAATTATTTTCTTACATTTTGATTTCATATAATTAGTTTGATTATTAAAATTATACAATTTATATAAAAATGCATCAATAATATTATGCCCAACTTATTGTGCTCATGAAATTACAATGATTATAAAGATTGAAAAAAGATACAAATAATTGTAGGTGTTTCCCACACAAATAACATTCATAGAGTGATTACTTTACTACTACATCAATAGGCATAGGAAGACTATCTGTTCACCTAATGACAACCCGCACGTACGAACATAGAACAAGTAGATATTTTATAATACTTTAGTAGGGTCAAAGTGGGGCAAGGTCAAACATATGAGTGGTGAGGATTAGAGGGCTCGGATGAATAGTTAGGATTTGATTTGGGGGGGGGGGGAGTATATAAAAAGAAAAAAGGGGGAAAATAGGGAGAGGTCAATCAACAGAGAATGAGGGAAAGTGAAGAAGTTGAAGGAGAGATCGATAGTAGAAGTTGAAGAAATGTACGAGTGAAGAGGATCTTACCGAGCTAGGAGGAGATGGAGGCTAAAGGTAAATAAATTTGGATACTCAAAAGTTGTTATGGTGATATGGTTTGGATTTTATGTTCAGGTTGTCTAAATGGAGGATTTCGAGTTGTGATGAAGTAAAGAGATGAGGAATGGTGAGTGAATAGAGTGAAAGTGAGGGAGAAGGAAGGAGTCGACCGAAATAGAGTTAGGTCGAGTTGTATAGCGAGATTTGGGGGCAATTTTACTGGTGAGGTGCCGATATTGGTACCGGTGGAGATGAATACTGGTGCGCCAATATTGCCGATTGTGGATAGGGAGGTTGTGCATCGATACTGATGCTAGTATATGATATATGTGTGTGTGACAAAGTGAAGGTCGGTGTGTGTGTGTGTGTGTGTGTGTGTGTGTGTGTGTGTGGTTGTATATTGCTGGTGTATGTGTGTGGTCGAGTGAAGGCCGGTGTGTGTGTGACCGAGTGAAGGTCGATCTATGTGTGGCCAAGTGAAGGTCAGTGTGTGTGGCCGAGTGAAGGTCGGTGTGTGTGTGGCTGTGTACTACTGGTATATGTGTGTGGTCGAGTGAAGGCTGGTGTGTGTGTGGTTGTGTACTGCTGATATGTGTGTGTGGCCAAGTGAAGGTTGATATGTGTGTGGCTGTATACTGCTAATGTGTGTGTGTGTGGTCGAGTAAGGCCAGTGCGTTTGGTTGTATACTACTGGTGTGTGTATGTGGTTGAGAGAAGCCAATAGTGGTATGGCAGAAATTAAGGTCAGTGTGAGTATGTGTGTAGCTAACTAAGGCCAGTGAGGGTGTGTATGTGGCTGAGTTAAGGCCAGGATGTGTGTGTGGCTAGATTAAGGCCGAAGAGTGGGCATGTGTGGCCAAACTAATGTCAGAGGTTTGATAGTTGGTGGCAGTGTAGTGATTGGGGGTATATGTGTATGGGTGGCATTGGCGTGGAACTAGGAGTAGAGTAGGTGAAATGAGATATTA